TTCCAAATGTGGACTGACCAGAGTCTTATACAGCTTCAGCAACAGATCCCTGCACTCTTGTATTCTAACCCTCTCAAAATGAATGCTAACATTGCCTTTGCCTTCTTAACTGCCCACTGAACTTGCACGTTAACCTTAAGACTATCCTGAACTAGGACACCACTATCCCTTTGTGTTTCAGATTTCCCCATTTAGAAAAGTCTATGCCTCTACTCTTCCAGCCAAAGTGGAATTCCCACATAGTGGATCAAAGAAACTCAGGACCAACAATCAGATGTGCATTTGAGGCATGCTAATTACCCTATTGAAACCCAATTGGCATGTGCTCGGGTAGAATCTCTACAAAGATGCAGAGCAAAAAATTTTTTTTTAAATTTTTGAACAGCCAAGTTGTGCTCCATCCCCTTGTGTTGTGCGAGATGAAGAAAACTGTTCACCTGACAACTAACTCCAGACTCCGTAGGTTGGGCCAACGCTTCGGAACTTATTTTAGCCATGGCTTTTTGCCATTCTTAAGGGAGACACTGAAGTTGATCGGAAGGCTGGACCAGCTGGCAAAGGCTAACAACACAAGGGCAATAAAAGAACTTAAAATATACCTGAAATTTAAATAATGGGCTTGAAATACTAAATACATTCGAAATAATTGATTCTTGAAAGCATGCAGAGGGCAAAAACAAAATGTGTTCTCTCCAAAAATGTAAATAGGATAAAAGATCTTGAGCTGAAGGGCTTAAAGCAAGTAGTGCACCAGAGTTTGGTAGTATTTTTTCAGTGATGGAAGACACGGGAATCATATAGTATGAAGGTATCGAAGCCGAGGAGCTTGAACCAGGCAATATTGCCACACTCAAAAACAATAAATTAGGCAACTCTCTTGTACTTCTTCTGTTGCAAAATTGAATCAAATATCATACGTAAACTTAGTCCTACCCATGCAATAATACAGTAGACAGATTTAAATGTAAGAGGAAGATTTTTCCTATCCAACTTCTTGATTTATTTGCAAGAGGATGAGACAATCTAAATGGACTACCTTACAGCAGGTGTGCTTAGATTTCTAAAATACCTTTAATAAAAACCCCATAGAAGATTTTTTTGGTTGCATTTATGAGGTTTGAGGATAAAATTCAAAGTAGCTGGAGGATCATTTTGAGATGGCTGCTGTATTGAATAGGATGCAGAAAAATTGCTAGGATTTTTCCTTTACATCATTGACTTGAATTAAATGATTTGTAAACAGGTAAAATTTGCAAATGACAATCGATTGAATAAGTTATGCAAAAAGAACAGGAAGTACTTCACTTAGGAAGGAGAAGTAGGAACTTACGAGTAGTGTTAAAATGACGATATTGTCTGCGTTTGGTCAGCAAGGGTAACAGAATCAGAACTGCAGTTAAGACAAAAGAATAGAGGAAATAATGTTCAAACCATACAATAGGCACTGGTCAGACAACACCTTGAGTATTGTGTGCATTTCTGGTCATTGACAAACAATAGAGACAGTTAAGCAGTAGAGAAAAGATCAATCATTAATGTCAGAAGTTTCAGCTCGGATGATTATGAGAAACCTGGGCTTACCAAGCTGAAAAGCAGGCACCTAAGAAGGGATTTATTAAAGAGAGATGTATAAGACAGTTAAAGGGAATGAAATAAGAAAAGAGAAACTGCAATAATAAAAATCCAACCAAAAATAGAACAAAATTTCAGAAGGTACAAAGTAACAATAGGCAAATTTAGGACAAATATCAAGACATCTTTTACGCAAAGCATGATTAAGATTTTGAATAGTGAAGGGAAAAACAAACTCAATTTTAAAGATGACACTAAAATGGAGGTGCAATGGACAGCAAAAAAAAAGGTTACCTCAGAGTACAAAGGGATCTTGATCAGATGGGCCAATGGGCAGAGGAGTGGCAGATGGAGTTTAATTTAGATAAATGTGAGGTGCTGCATTTTGGAAAGGCAAATCAGGGAAGGACTTCTACACTTAATGGTAAGATCCTGGAGAGTGTTGCTGAACAAAGAGACCTTGGAGGGCAGGTTCATAGTTTCTTGAAAGTGGAGTCGCAGGTAGATAGGTTAATGAAGAAGGTATTTGGTATGCTTGCCTTTATTGGTCAGTGCATTGAGTATTGAAGTTAGGAGGTCATGTTGCGGCTGTACAGGACATTGGTTAGGCCACTTTTAGGAGTGTTGCATGCAATTCTGGTCTCCCTCCTATAGAAAGGATGTGTGAAACTTGAACGGGTTCAGAAAAGATTTATAAAGGATGCTGCCAGGGATGGAGGGTTTGAGAATAGGCTGGGGCTACTTTCCCTCGACCATCACAGGATGAGGGGTGATCTTATAGAGATTAATAAAATCATGGAGAGGTAAATAGGCAAGGTCTTTTCCCCAGGGTGGGGGGAGTCTAAAACTAGAGGACATAGGTGGGAGGGAAAGATATACAGTGACCTAAACGGTAACTTTTTCACACAGAGGGTGGTGCATGCATGGAATGAGCTGCCTGAAGAAATGGTGGAATAGGGTCTGTGTACAGTCTGTTTCCATGTTGAACATCTCTATGACTCTGACTCTAATTAAAAAAAAAATGAAATGGAAGAATTAGAATCTCCTTCTGGGTGAAGAAATTAAGATGAATTAAATGGCTATCCCCACTCTTAATATACCTTGTGAACTATGGTCACAAAGCACCAACGCCATCCCACACTGCCACTGAGCCTTATATGCAACATAAGTAAAAATAAAAGTCAACACCTGCAATAGCTAAAGGAAATGCAACCCAATTTTATAAAGCCTCTCCTCAATATTTAACTTTTGAAATCACTTTACACTCACTAGTGCAAATATATCATGAGACACAGCACGCGGATATGAATGCAAAACTCCAGGTGAAGAGTGACCAAGGCTCATTATAACTGAAGCGTCACTTCCTCGCCTTTTGTATTCCAAATCTTTTAAGATCAAAGCAATTTTGATGATTATTTTTAAACCTGTGCACAATGAAGGTCATTGGTAAATTGGTACCAATTGTTCCTCAATAGTTTATAGGCTTGACAGTATGTAATTAATCTGAATTCCGAAGTCCCAACATTACATGCTTATTTAGTCATACTTTCCAGTATGAAGCCTCATCAATTACCTTCTAAAAGTCCAATAAGTGCAATGTACAATGCCTGGCCAATTTATTAGTGACCTCTTCAAAACAAAACAGAATCAACTCGTAATTTACGGAGTACCTGTTACAAGTCCATGCTGTCTGTCTTAGATTAGTTCATACCTGCTCAAATACTCAACTACTCAAGCACCAAGAAAAGACTCAAGTAACTTCATTACAACTGATATTTGAATGGATTGATCTATAGTTTCTTGATTGCTTCCTCCTTCCTATCTTAAGTAATGGAATGACAGGCAACCAGCACTAAGCCAGTGAGAAATTAGTTCAGGAGGGAAAAAAGTACATCAACAATTGACAATTTATTGACAGTCACAAATTCACTGTATGCTCAGTTTTCACTTACATGTTCCAACATCAAATAACAGAACAAAACCAGAAGCGAATAATTCAAACATTCAAATTCCTGGCACTGATTAAAAGTTCAGTGTTTACACTAAATCAATCATGTTATGCATTTAAATACAACTGATCAATTTTATGTTTAAATCTCAATTCCTCAGTTGTTCAATTGCTTTTAAATCAACATTCTAATCTCCGTTCATAATTATCATGGTTAAGTGAAAATGTATACATCATGAAACACAAGACATACTACAGTACGCATCATGGATTTGCCTAGGTTAGTGGTGTTTACCCAGAATTACAGACCTAAGTGCAAGATGTTAACTTAAAATCCACAGGAAATTACTGAAATCATTAGAATTATTAAGATCTTTTGGCTGAAGACTATATTGCGTTTATGACTTCAGCTACAGATTAGTGGAAACAGCTTTGAAAATTTGGCAAGGGTCCACCCTATATTTACATTCTTGTTGCAGTAATTAAAATAATCTCCTAGGCCTTAAATTTATTGTGTAACAAATGCTTAAATGCTGCCAAACATACAAACCACTAAATGGTTTGGATGATATCCAAAAACATCTAGCAAACTCATTTTTTGAACTTTTGCCAAAAACCAATAGCCTTTGAAATTTCTTACAGTATGCAGAAGCTAACATTATAGTTCAGTTACCCAAGCTGTACAATATACAATACTGTATTTCCAACTGTCAACATATTTAAAAAGATTTTTTCAGTATTACCAAAGACAAAACTGAATATACAACATTTCTCAGTCACACCTCAGTCAAGGTTTGATTTGGTTTAATTAAGAGGATACAGCAACAGAAGGCATCAAGAATCAAGTGGACTACATCAAATTATCTTCTTCATGACATATACATTAGAACATTTGACTTAAGTCTTCAGTTTATAAAATTGAAAAGTATATTCCAGTGACAATTGTGTTTACACATCTGCTAATTATTTCCACTTTTTTCACATTACCCACATGACAAGTATTAAAAAAGCATAATTATATACAAACATCAAATTTCACCACAGTATTTATCAGTTTCTTCCTAAATATTTTAATCATAAGTGTATGCAAACCAAATCATTTGTTATAGTTATCTGTCATAAATATTTCATCCAAACATGGGGAAGAAAGCAGTTGCCATCCAGCATATTACCAAATGCCATCTAGGGATTACATGCTGGACGTCGTAGTGTATGCATTTATTGCAGAGGCTTAACATGCCTGGGGTCAAACGTCAATTACAAACTCCTCCTCCTCTCCCCAGCGTTCAACATTCAAATATATGCAGAATGGGCATATAGTTAAAAATCAAAATTCAACCCACATATACATTTCATTAATGTATACTAAAAATTACTACAATTAGATTTTTACGTGGACTTGGGACGTTAATCGCAATATGGAACTGAATAAAATACAATAAGTTTACAAATATTTTAGATTTTACTAGTTTGTAAATACCTGTTTAAACTGTTCCTCGTACGTCCACTCGGCCTGATCCTGGACTTGCTGCATCTGCGGGTGTGGCTGGCAAGGGAGCCCGGTTATAGGGCGCCGCTGCCCGGGCAAACGATGCACCTCACCACAGTGGTGCATTCCCCTCTGCTCCTTTACTCCGCTACCCCCTTCCTCGGCCATCTCGTCCTCGAATTCTTCTTCTTCCTCAGCAGCCATATCTTCCTCGGATCCTAAAGGATCGGGATAACGCGGCTCCGCGGTCTCCTCCTCCTCTTCCCGCTCCATCTCATCTCCCCCAGATAAGGCCTCGCTGGTTTCGGAAAGCCTCGGGCTATCGCCTCGTTCCATACCCAGTTCCTCTTCGTCTCCTTCGTCGAGGACGCGTTGGGCTGAAGCATCAGCCCCTGCGGCAGCCGCCGCTGCTCTCATGGCGGCCAGTGCTGCTGTTTGCTGAGCAGCGATGCTCTGCTGCGCAATCACCAGGATCTTGTTATCGTTGGAAAACTCGGCCGTTAGCCTGCGAGGCTCGCGCTGCTCCATTTGAATTTGCTGCTGCTGTTGCTGGGCCTGGAGCTGAAAGCGCGCACGCGAGGACTGGGGCTGTTGCTGGTGATGCTGTTCGTTCTGCTGTTGCCGGGCCTCGAGCTCGAGCCGCGCACGCTGCTGCCTCTGCAGGTTTTCCATCACCGCCTGCAACTTCATGGCTCTCCCAGCCCTGCGCTCGCTCGCTCTCTCACATACACTTACACTCTCTCTGTCTCTAACTGCGGGTAAATATCCTTTGCTTTCGTTTTGCCGATTTACTTGTACGGGGCTGATATTGATAAGGAGTAATAATCTACGGGCGGAGGTGACTGATCTATTAAGCCACTACTCAACTCCAGTCTTAACGACTGGAAGGGGGGAGGGTTGGGGGTCAGAGAGATTCCGCAACTTTTCATGTAGATTGCCATTCAGGTGTTCATCTGTCCCTGAGGCGGAAAAAGCCGTTAGAAATAATGTTGTAAGACAACATTTCACATCCGTGGTAGAGATAAACGTTAACTGATTTTTTTTAAATGGGTGGCAAGGAATTCAAAAGAATTTTCTTGAGGATAAAACATAATTACAGTTTGCTTCTTGAGATGATCGTCTATACTACATAACATTGAATGTGGTAAACACACAACATAAAATAAAGTTATACAACTACAACTGGTGAAAATATAAAGTTAAAAATGTCAACAAAATATATTGAATGGCCACATAAAAGATTGATTAACATTAGTGGAGATTCTTTGTCTTATGATCAGGGAAAGGAAAGCAAAGGATATTGTATTTAATCCATCTCCCCTTTATGGATTTCAAAGGTGTACATATCTAGCATTTCCCAATTTTACCCCCATCTTGAACTTTTTCTTTGGTCATTTTTCTTTCCTGAATGTGATCATTCTTGTCAGAACAGTGATCTGTTCCACTAGCTTACTACAATTACTTAGGTCATTCTTCCAAAATATAACCAGATATTGGGAGTACATTTGGTCTTCAACAATGGCATTGATGCGGGTATTAGCAAATCTGCAGCTTATTTTTCAGAATGCCTGATCTGTTTCCATTAACTTTATTGAACAAAAATGATTTTGGTGTAAAATGGACTCAATTTTTAATTGTCTGTTTTCACACTCCAAGGAAAGTCTAGTTTCTACCATAAATAAAAAACACAAGGTCATTGCAATCTAAAACATGAAATCTGTCATCTTTTCAGAGATGTTACTTGACCTGCTGAGTTTTGTTTACATTTCAGGTTTTAATATCCGTAGTAGTTTACTTTTGTACCAATTTCTATCAGTCAAATGTTGCTAAAGATATTTTGAGTGTGGTAGAATTACAAACAAACATGATTTTGCCTTCAGCTTGAACACCTTCCCAGGGGAAAGAGTCATTGGTGACTCTCAGAAACAATAGAAGCTTGTCCAGAGAAAATAAAACCATTCTGTGTCTCCAAATTTGTGTCAGCTGTGTTTCAGGAAATAGGACTCTCACTACTGAAGCCAAAGATTGTGGGCACATGACTCATGTACCATGCACAAAAATCTAGACTGACACTTCAGCTAGAGGTGTTGCCTTTCAAATAACATGTTAAAGTGAGGCCTGGCTTGCTCTGTCAAACAATGTAAAGGATCCCATGGCACAATTTCAAAGAGGGCAGCAAAATTATCCCTGACGTTCTTGCCAATATCAACACCCCAATCACATCACTAAATAAAACAGATTATCTGTCTATTATCATATTGCTGATTGTGGAGCTTGCTCAACACAAATTGACTGCTGCATTTTCTACATTAGAATTGTAGCTACAATTCAAGATACTTAATTTCTTGTAAATGCTGTGAGATGTCCTATAATGAAAGACATTATATAAATGCCAGCCGTTTTCTAAACTGAACTCATGTCCTGTGCAACTAAGTAAAGCCAAATGCTTTCTTTCCCAGTAAATGATTGTGCTACTTCATCTAAAAGCAACAATCAATCTAAACTATCAAAAGTCTTCTGTTTTTTCTAGGAGTTAATTGAACATATTCGGCCCATAAAATATGAATAAATCTAATGGTCTATAAATAAGCTAGTCATTAAAATAGTTTATAGAAAATCAACCACTTGAAAATACTGAACATGTAACTCATGAACTACAAACCAGCATGACAAACTGTTATCACAATCCCAACTTCTCTCAACATAATTATATTTAACACATGTTGATAATATACTAAAAGAGTGTGATTGTCTTATTTAAAATAAAAGCAACACATTTTTGAGTTCTTTTTCTACAGTTAACTCAACAAGTACAAATTAATAGCACTCGCTTAACGCATAAGTTAAGATTTTTGAAATGGTCAGCTGAACAAAGTACAATGCAGAAAAATATTCCATTACAGCAAATAGAATAATCTTGCCAGCAGATGTAAGGAGAGTATAAATAGCATACATTGCTTTTATTATTCTAAACTTTTCAAAGAACTTTCCCACAAAAGCTTTTTCACTGTCACCAGAGAGGGCAGTTGGGCCTTCAATTTAACATTTCATCCAAAAGGCACTTCCAACAGTCCAGCACTCCATCAGCAGTTCAGTGTGTCAACATAGATTATAGGGCTCAAATTTCTGGAGTTGACCATTGACTGGTATTTGACTTGCAATTCACAAGTTGTTTATTTTCCATAGAACTTACACTGCTGACTTGTAATTCCGTTTACACCTTTTCAGTTGGGAATCTTTGCACAATCAAATATTGTGCCAACATGCAGTCAGGTTTCATGTGAAAATTTGCGTTTTGGTAAAGTTTGATAAAGATCAGAGGTCAATCAGCACCAATAGAGCAAAACCACACCATTAGTCAGTAACTTCTGAAACAGTAGGCAAAGAATACTGATGGAGGAAAGATCTCTGAAATGCTGACCCATATTCCCCATGTTAAAATTGTGGCAGATATTATGGCACAATAAAACCGATAATTTCATTGGCACCTTAAAATTGTGGAAGAATTAACTAAAAGAATTATCACTGTGTCTTCTTCTTGATGTCTCTAGTACCTCAACTTCCACCACAGATAAGGCAAGCAATCCACCAGCTGGAACAGGAATCACACTCCATGCCGTTGATACTAATTGATCCTTATTGGCTATCTACCCAACTGAGCCAAACTAGCAGCACGTCAGAGTTGCCTAGGGTAACATATATTTTTGGATGCATGTTGTAATCCTGGAGCTATGGATAGTGATTGTAGAATCTCAAATTTCTTCCCATCACTGGGCTGACCAGAAATCCCTCCCACTCTTGTCATCTGCAAAGTGATTCTCAACTTGTTTTAGCCAGATTATGAACTCACTTTTCTTGGGTGTCAGGTCCTGTGAGGCAAAAGGAGTATGATGAAATACTCTTCTTTGCTTGCCTGTATGACCACAGCTTCAACAACACGCAAGGAGCAGCACACAATCCAGTTCAAAGCAGTCGGCTTGATCAGCACCCCATCCACCATCTTGGACATTCACAAATATTTGAATCAAATATTTTGTAATCTTTAACTTAAGTTTTATGAATAAAGTATATGCTTGGGCCAAAAAATTCGCCAGAAACATGAGTGGATGATCCACATAAATGATGTGACTACAAGACTGGAAATTCTGCAGTAGGTAACTCACCTCTTGACTTCCCAAAGCCTGTCCAACATAGAAGATCATAGATCATAGAAGATCGTAGAATCCCTACAGTGTGGAAACAGGCCCTTCGGCCCAACAAGACCACACCGACCCTCAGAGCATCCCACCTAGACTCATCCCCCTATAACCCACCTAATCTACAAATCCCTGAACATTACGGGCAGTTTAGCATGGCCAAACCACCTAGCCTGCACACCTTTGGACTGTGGGAAGAAACTGGAGCACCCAGAGGAAACCCACACAGACACGGGGAGAACGTGCAAACTCTGCACAGACAGTCGCTCGAGGGTGGAATCGAACCCAGGTCCCCGGCACTTCTGCATTTATCAGTTGTTTTCCTGAAAATGAGCTTCTTTTCTCTCAGTAGCTAAGTTCTCATTTCAGGATCTTTTCTGCTAATACAATCATGATTTGGATTGTTTACTGATTGTGCAAATTTTACAAGTTATATTAATGAGGTCATTATATGGATCAAGGACTCTGTTTCACCTTACGTCCTGCTATTGGATATGTATCATTTGTCTTTTACATTCACTTAGACATCAGCATGTGCCTTCAAGGCTTTCAACATTTCTGCAGTTTGCTTTTTTGGTTGTTCAGAGAGATTAAGGGAGAAATGAACTTTGAAACAGTCACTTCTCAATAGTGATAAGAGTATAGCAATGTGTAGCTGCTCTGGCTTGTTAAACTGACCTGTTACTATTTCATAATTTTGTTGTTGTGTGGAAAAACTGCTCGTTCTGTTTCATACTGCTTTTCATTTTGACTGGAACTAGGAGAGGAAAAGCTGCAGCCATTTTCTCTTGCCCAATGATTCAGTGTAATGCCTAGTTTCTTTGTTCCTTTTTAGTTTATTTCAGTTAGTTATATCAACGTTTATAGCTCTGAAATTTCCTGTGTCACTCTGTCAGTAGTTAGGTTGTTTTTACAGCTCTTCCACACAATCACAGATTCACAGATGTTCTGTGTTCAGACAGCAGCAGTCTGGTCAGAATGGAGCCTTTATTGAAGTGCCTCTAAGATAGTTGCCTGCAGTGTGTGTACCTTATGGTAGAGGTCACATAACTACAGCAATCCAGGAAGGATATTTGTATATGATCGCAACTCAATTGAAACAGGCTTATTTTTGGTTTTTCAGAGGCTATATAATGGAATGATAGCCAGTTAGCCCAGAGATAAGTTGCCATATAGGCTAACTGAAGTATTGAAGGCACTCTCAGATGTCATCTAGAGTTTTACAGACAACTGCTGACTCTATCCTGACTGATATAAAAATTTGGCTTCCTGGTGGCAGACCAAGTGATGATTCCCTTTACGAGGTTGCTTTTATGAACATACATACATACAACATATGAATTCAGAGCAGGAATATGTCACTCAGCCCCTCAAACCTGTTCCACCATTCAATAAGATAATGACTAATTGTAACTACAAACCTGCATTCCCATCTACGTGCGATATCTTTTCACCCCATCATCCCATCAAGAATCAAGAATCTACTTCTGCCTTAAAAATATTCCAGGACTCTGCTTTCACCACCTTTTCAGGAAGAAAGTTCCAAAGACTCAAGCCCCTCTGAATGGCTTATTCCTGCTCCCAGTTTGCATGATCAAACATTCCTTCTTACTTCTCCCTCTTGAAAGGCTTCCTGTATGATGGTGCCATGGTCAGTTAGCTCATCCATCCTGCAGCTCTTACTCTCATCCAGACAAGCTGAAAGAAGGTCAAATGAAAAAAGAAGGTCCTGGAGGAAT